TTACATTCGACGCTCTCGGACAACGATGTATACCATTTTCGCGTGGTAATGAACGCGCGTGCTGAGCGACTTATGGGATCGGGGCGGGTTGTAGCTCTTCTTGAAATAAATAACGAGAGAAAAATAAAAACAGAAACAAGAAAATAAAGAACAAAATGAAAAAGAATTCGTTTTCTACGACACCGTAGAATCAAAGTGTCAGCTACACCGAAAGCCGGAATTCAAAATGCTGCAACGTATTCGTTGTGTCTGGATAACGAATGTTTATTCAAAGCTATCCATCATGTAACTTTATAAATTCACTCGGTTCCGTCCGGTACTTTAAATCTTCTACATTCTGCCGTCGGGAACGTCACGCATAGCGCTCTCGTTCCGGAAGAAATAATTAATGCAAGTGCAGCTACGCGAAACTTTTCTTTTGGAGCCAGCTATATGGTATAAAATATTCTACTATCTCGTTTCCCGAGATATAAACGTTCCTCAGCCGTGAATCGGACTGTGTTTTTCGAATAACGTTCTCGAAGTGTCGAAAATTTCTGTGCACGGGACACCTCAAAGTACACGCAGCGGCGGAAAGGAAGAGACGCGGAACGTGGAATAAGGTTCCCCCGGCCGCGAGTCTTCGTTCGCGAATTTTTCAGACGCGTCGCCGGAGATTTGAAGAAGCAAATGAACCCGTTACGAAGACGACGCGTTCGGTTCTCAGTCTTTGGAAGAATAAAGAGCGCGCGAACGTCCAAGATTGGAATATTTCGAAACTCGAGATCCGAATGGATTAACGTTATTCCACATTTCCCCGTTCTTTCACAGACGATCGCGCGGCGTGGGTCGCATTGTCGCGCGCTTTGGGCCGTCCCGCGGATCGGTTAGATTTTCGAGTGTATCAGTAAAGCGGCGGAGAAGAAACAGACGAAAATTCTGATCGGATGTCACGGAGCGTACACGGAACGGTTTTTCTTCTGAAACGCGTGCAGCGCCGGCTGTTCCATAAATTTTGATACATTGACACGCTACTATAATTAGTTTTGGCAGGAATGTAGTTAACTATAGGTATCGCTTCCTTTCCTCGTTCGCCTACGTACTGTGCGCGACACAGTGAACTAAACGTGAACAACAACAACAACATCTCCCGGGGAAACACGGCCGAGCCGTGCGCCGCGATCGATGCGAACGTTGCGGAATAACGTGCACGCGTAAATCAGCATAAATCGGCGATAATACAAGACCGTTCGTCGAGATCGCAAACAAACATAGAATTCTATTCTGAAACGGTTTTATTATTACACGAGCCGTTGTAATGCGTACAATATTGCTTTACTGACCCGAATCAACCAGTCGATCGTCAAAGTTCACTTTCTTTTCCTTCCTCGTCATCTTCTCGTTTCTTCATCACCCCTTCTTTCTTCCTTGTTGTTTCTTCTTCTCGTTCCTCTACTTCATCCTCTTCTTCTTCTTCTTCTCGGTCTTCTTCTTCATCTTCTTCTTCCTCTTCGTTCTTACTTGAAACCGATATACACACGCGTCGGCGGCGATCCTCCGCGTTCTACCGATCGTAAAACAAACAATAAAATATCTAAGGAACATTCAATACTTATCTTTATATGATTCCCTTCGACTCGGAAACTGTTCGTCCCCGCCACGCTGCGCCGCGGAGCAAGCGTGCCGGTGACTTTTAATTATCATTACTTCGCTGTGTCTGTATATGAATATGCATTTTTTTTGTTTTGTTTGTTTGTTTAAACTTGAAAAGGCATAGAAACAATAATTAGGAAGGACGTCGCGTTTTCTTTTTTGCATGGATGAGTCGCTTATAGATCTATCGCGGTGATCGTAAATGTGATGATAGCAATCATTCCATCGTTATAGATTAATTCAAATACATAGCAATGTTGTGTCCGGTATATACAGTATGTAGCACTGTCACCAAGAGCCGCGAGATCTTTCGTCGTTCGTTCATTCGTTCGTTCGTTCGTTCGTTCGTTCGTTCGTTCGTTCGTCGACGAGTTTCTGTATAAAAGCCGCCGCGACACGACGCACGCTATATACAAAAAGGATTAAATCAACACGACCGATACCTGACGATTGCGGGTGAACAAACTCCGACTCGTAATTTTCCCTAAAACACGAATTCTGATTTACGAACTGGTTTGCCGTTTTGTAAAACGAACGTTGTATCTCGATTTTGACTTTAGCATTTACCTTTCACTTCACTCGCCGTGACAGAACACCGACACGCACGTGATCAACGCGGCAATCGCCCGTTCGCGAAACATCGACGGCATCTCGCGGCTCCCGTGAGCCCGATTCTCGAATGGAAGGAATACGATTTCTATCTTACAAGCTGAATAATGTTGGTGCGTTAACGTAGTAGTACAGTGCGTCGCTATTAACGCGATTACGAGCTTAGTGATAAATTCATACTCGTCGTTGCGCTATTTACTCGTTATTACAAACTAGAAACAATCTCTAATGACTTTGCGAGTAGAACTTTGTAATTAGGCTCTTGAGCAGTGTCTAGACACGAGAGACAGAGACAGGGGGACAGAGAAAGAAAGGGAGAGAGAAATCTAGAAACGGAATCGAACTGAAACCACGCGCGCTTCGCTGGCTAACCAACAACCGATCGGGACTCGGCATTTTCGGCTCGTTTCGCGTCTGCTCGAGCCGCTTTTCGTTCACATGGAAAATACCAAACCGGCGGTGTCGGCGAAATTTTCGAATTTCGGATTCGGTTGTCTCGATCCCGAAACTCGTCGAAAATGCCGAGAGAAATTAGTTACTACTGTTCCGCTTGGAAAGGGTAGACAAGGGTGGACGAGAGAACTCGATGGCTTCTTGGGGATGGTTGGAAAGATCGTTTACATGTAAAAGTATTAAACACGCGTCGTATCTCGATAGAAACATGAAAAAACAAACCCCGACACGCGCTACACACTCGCTCGCTAGCTTTCGCACCCCGTACACGCATAAAGGACAATCGCTTTCACTCCGGTTCTCCCCTAAAATTTACGAGTTACGGTGCCGCTTCGTGGATCTTCATCTCGATCACCCCTCATAGGCCATTCTGCGAGACGGCTACGGGACTTCGACTAATTGCTGCGGCCTTGTACGATTCGTATTTTCTACTATGTTTTACGGTAAAAACTCGCTGAATATCC